TATCTAAGAAATACAATGCACTTAGGCAAAAGTTTAATGCATTAGAAAATACTGTTGGTATTCTTGAAAAAGAAAATGAGTACTTAAAGAAAGATGTTGAGAAATCTAAAACTTTGTCTAAAAATAAAGAAGTTGTTAAAACTTGTGAAAATTGTAATCTTTTGGAAAATGAGATTTTCAAGTTAGAGAAAATAATAAGCAATTTTTCAAAATCTTTTGAAAATCTTGATTCGATATTAGGTTATCAAAGAGGAAATTCTAGTAAAGCTGGACTTGGTTACAAACCCAAAGAAAGTCTAGAACCTCATAAAACTATTTTTGTGAAAGAGTCAAGGAAAACATATGTGAAACCAGTTTCAAAAACTTTAAGAAACGCATTTAGACCTTTTCAAAGAAAATCAATATGTTTTTATTGCATGAAATTAGGTCATACATCAAATAGATGTTACATAAAATATTTTGGCATATCTAATGGCAAATATGAATGGGTGCCTAAAGGAACAAAATATTTATATATGTCTAGATAATAATTTGAGCATCTAATTGATTATCGGAATCGAAATTTTTTTTCTTGTTGTCATAATCAATTATGTTGAAAGTTTGAGATTTTTTTTAAAATTTTGCCGTTTGAGATTCTTGAAATTTGAAATTTTGCAATTTGAAATTTTTGAAATTTGAAATTTTGCAGTTTGAGATTTTTTTAAAAAATTTGCAGTATGAGATTTTTGAAAATTGAAATTTTGCAATTTGAGATTTTTGAAATTTGAAATTTTGTAGTTTGATATTTTGAAATTTGAAATTTTTGCATTTTGAGATTTTTGAAATTGAATTTGAATTGGAATTTGAAATTTGAATTTGAAATTTGGAATTTGTTGGAATTTAAATTTGAAATTTGAAATTTGTTGCAATTTGAATTTGAATTTTGAAATCTGGAATATGAGTGCATTTGAATTTGAAAGTTGTCTAAATAACAAGACTGCAATTGGAGGAAACTACTGCATTTCATTCCATTATCTCTATAATTATTTTATTCCCCTATCTTTCTCTCTTCATTTGTCTTGGGTATCCTAGATATTGTCTCCTTAATATGATATTCTTCTCTATGACACTTTGTAATGCATTATCTTCTCTACCTTGATTTATGTACTAATATGTGCAAATTTGTTCTCAGTTTCTATTGTAATATTTTTCATAATTATCAATTAAATAGGGAGATATTTTGATGATATTAATCTGTGTGAAACAGGGGGAGATTTTTTTTCTCTTATAATATTTTTTTATAATTATCAATTAAACAGGGAGATATTTTGATGATATTAATCTGTGTGAAACAAAGGAAAATTTTTTCTTATAATATTTTTTATGATTAGTAATGAAACAGGGGGAGACTTTTTGATGAATTAAAATCTGTGTGAAATTCTTTCCTATCTAAATTAAACAAGGGGAGTTAAGAGAATTCTTTGCTCATATGAGTTAGGGGGAGTCTTGTTATTAATATATCCAGACAGAGATTAAGAGACTCTGACACTTGATACAAATCTGTGTTAATATTGAGCTGGCTATATAGAGTCAAGCATTTTAATTCATTTCAGGTGTTTCCTTGATCATCATCAAAAATGGGAAGATTGAAAGCAATGAGGGAGAGATTGATGGAAATGTCCCTACATTCCCAAGAGATGATTTTGATGATGATTCAAGTCAACTACATTCAAGTCAACACCATTCAAGATGAATTAAGGACAAGCTGAATTTATGACGTTGGTGAAAATGTGAAACATTTCCCTACATGCCCAAGATATGTTTTTGATAAAGATGATGATTCAAGCAAGCCTAAGATTATTCCTGAAGACTAGATAGAGTCTTAGAATGCTGGATATGGAAGTACAAGTTGATGAAGTAATATTATGCATAAGTCTCCAAAGCACAAGTGTGATAAAATTCATAACATTATATTTTTCACTGTCATAATTAATTATGATGCATCATAAATGGAAAAATGATTTTCTCCATCATAATTGATTATACTGGTAATATAATCAATTATGGCAATTCAAATTTAAAAAATATATCTGCTTTAAAGAATAAATGTTTTTGAATACATCCTGATTTTTTCTATGATATTTTTAATGTCCAACGACCATTTTCTGATGCTATTTTTCTATTTAATTGTATTTTGATGAAAAATCAAAAACACACAATTACAGAATTCGAAAATACAATTTACATTCAATCAGTTTTGAGAAAAGAACTATGAGCAAGGCAACAGAGATATTTTATACCTTTTGAGAAAACTCTCTTCTCTACTGTCTTTTGTGCTTTCATTGTTAATCACACTTGTTCTTGGAGATTGACATTCTACAGGCTTCTACAATTTGTTGTCTCCATTACTCAGGTGTATCTGTTCTTATTTTTATTACCTTCATCCTTTGTGTATTGGTGGCAAAAGAGGTGTTTTCATCATTTGATTTGTTCAAAGGAGGTTTTCATCCCTAGTGTGATTCTAGGGAAGTGTTCATCCTTAGTGGGATTCTAAGGAGATGTTTTTCATCCTTTGATTTGTTCAGAGGAGGTGTTTTTCATCTTTTGATTTGTTCAGAGGAGGTGTTTATCCCTAGTGGGATTCTAGGGAGGTGTTCATCCCTAGTGGGATTCTAGGGAGGTGTTCATCCTTAGTGGGTTTCTAAGGAGGTGATTGTCTTTTTTAATTAGTTTACTTTTTACTGGTTCTTCTGCTGAGTTGATTGTAATTTGTAAACTAAATTTGAAAGATAGTGAATGGGGAGTCACTCTTGTGTTAAGAGTTGACTGGGAACTGGATGTAGGGTTGGCTATACCCGAACCAATATAAATCTCTGTGTGCTCTTCTCTTTCCCTTATCTCTTTCTCTTTTCTTGATTATATTATCCCTTCCGCTTTATCTGTGTTCAAACAAATTATTGACTCACAAATAAATTTTTAATTTGATATCTATTTTAATTTGTGCATTTATTCACCCCCCGTCTAGATGCCATTTGTCTAACAGGGACGGGATCGGGGTGAGGATTGCATAAATATAAATTTAAAAAAGAAATTGAGTGAGTAATTTGTCATGAAAGATATAAGAGCTGCTAAAAAGATTCTTGGCATAAGTATCTCATGTGATAGAAGTGAAAAGAAGATGTGGTTATCACAGAAGCATTACATTAAAAAGGTGTTGCAAAGATTCCAGATGGAAAATGCTAAAGCAGTGATCACTCCTCTTGCAACTCATTTTAAATTGAGTGTTAAACAAAGTCCTTCAAATGAAGTTGAGAAATTATATATGAGTAGAGTTTCTTATGCATTTGCAGAGGGAAGTTTGATTTATGCAATGGTATATACTAGACCTAATATTGCATATGTTGTTGGTATAATCAGTCATTTTTTGTCCATTGAAATGTTGCGAAATGGATTGAGATATCTTCATAGTACTAGTGATTTAAAACTTTGTTTTGGAGGTGATAAACCCATTTTGATAGGTTATTCAAACTCATATATGGTTGGAGACATTGATTTCAGGAAGTCTACTTCGGACTATTTGATTAAGTTTGCACGGGGAGCTGTGGTTTGACAATCAAGATTTCAAAAGTGTGTAGTATTATTTACTACATAGACAAAGTTCATTGTCATTACAAAAGCATGCAAGGAGTTGTTATGGTTGAAGAAATTCTTGCAGAAGCTTGATTTTGTGCATAACTATTATCCATTATTTGTGGATATTCAAAGTGTTATTCATCTTGGTAAGAATCCAACCTTTCATTCTAGATTCAAACATATTGATGTGAGGTATCATTGGATATGTGATGTTTTGTATACTAAGTTGTTGGAGTTAGATAAAGTGCATACAAATAACAATGGTGTTAATATGATGACTAAGGCATTGCCAAGATAAAAGTTTGAAATTTTTGTGAAATCGTCCGATTGGTGATTACCTCCACATAGTTGTAAGGGGGAAATGGACTCTCAATTTTGTGTCTAAAAAGCCCAAATTAATCAAATTCATTTTATCTCACTCAACTTGAGAAGGGTTTTTTTAGTTTATAACATAGAGGTAAATTTTGCAACCTTTTTGACAGTTGAGATCGTCAATTAGAGATAGACATCAGTCTCGCACTGAATTTTAAGGGTTTTTTTTTCAAATTTGAAAGATTATTGCTTTGATATATTGGCTACTCGTATAAACTTATTTGTTTATTTTGATTTGGCTCTTGTATTCATATATTTAATTTAAATAGAACTTGATTGACTGACTTGTATCATGAATTGTTATTTCTTAAAGTTTTTCAAGCTAAAATTATTGATGTTCTCTGTGTGATTATTATAATAATTTTATGCTATTATTGTTACCCTCACATGTTTAGTAAAATTATTTCAGCTACTTATTTTCATATTTTTTATTGTAAGATTGTATTTTCTATCAATAAGGTGGTGGGGAACTTATTTAGAATAACAATTAAATAAGGTAGGAAACTTATCGACAACTTACGTCTCATTGTGGACATTGAACATATCTAATTTAATGATATTAGTAAGGGCATTGCAATTTTTCTTTAAGATAAAAAAAAATCAATCTTTTTATTTAGTTTATATTTTTGTTTTTTTCTCGTAAAAAACACGCAATCTAGAATTTTGGTTTGGTGATGAAATCTCTTTTCCTAAGGAAAAGAAGATTCTCATTCTTCGGGAATATAAAGTATCTCTCCAAGAAAAAGCAAGGAGGGTGCTGGGTCACCTATGTACAAAAGCATAATAACCTCTATCTTGCATGGATCAGAATATCTTGGCTAGTTTTTTCACGCCAAGAGGAATTTTTTCGTTAAATTGCTACAAAAGCCCATTTTACAATATATTTTGTTGATAAGTTTCACGAAAAGAATATGTTTCTTCTTGCAAAATGCACAAATTTTATTCTTATGTATATCAATAGCCACATTGGATAACATGAGTGATATATCATAACATTCAACCTTCTAAAAACAGCAATGGCAGGTCATAGCGAATTCAAGAAAAAGAAAATTTTGCCTATTGGAACCACATTTAATCTTCCTGATGATATACCAGTTTGGCCACCAGGTAGCATTATTCAATAATGCATATCTTCATTTTTTTTCTATATACTCTGATAATAAGATAAGCAAGGTGGCTAATGTTTCTGATTCATTTGGTTATGGTAATTTTTTTATGGTTTTTACTGGTTTGTCACGGATTTTGTAGGTGGTGGATTTGCAACCGGCACCCTTGACCTTGGTGGTGGGTTGCTAGTGTCACAAATCAAAACATTCAGCAAAGTTTGGACTACCTATGAAGGTGGACCAAATAATCTTGGGGCCACTTTTTTTGAACCAACAGGTTTATCTCAAGGGTTCTTTATGCTAGGATGTTACTGCCAACCCAACAACAAGCCTCTTCATGGTTGGGTTCTTGTGGGGAAAGATAGCTCTTCAACCTCTAACGGAGCGTTAGCCAAACCAGTTGATTACAAATTGGTGTGGACCACTAGGTCCTTGAAAATAAAGCAAGACGGAGAAGGCTATATTTGGCTACCAATAGCCCCTGATGAGTATAAACCTGTGGGCTATGTTGTCACCACCTCACCAGAGAAGCCTTCTCTTGACAAAGTCAGGTGTGTTAGATCGGATCTCACTGATGAATGCACAACATACCATTCAATGAAGCTTTGGAGAACAGAAAACAAGAGGTTTAATGTGTTTGATGTTAGACCAATGAAGAGAGGCATAGAAGCTCAAGGTGTTACTGTAGGAACCTTCCTAGCTCAAAGTGGAGGGACAAACTCTAAACCATTACCTATAGTTTGTTTGAAAAATACAAAGGCTAGTTTTCCCTACATGCCCAATTTATCCCAAATTGAGGCAATGATCAAGTCTTATTCTCCATATATATACTTGCATCCTATGGAAGAGTACCTCCCTTCTTCTGTGGATTGGTTTTTCACCAATGGGGCAGTACTAATTGAGAAAAGAAAGGGTGTAATAAGAGAGAATGCAATAAAACCAAATGGCTCAAACCTTCCCCAAGGTGGTTCCAATGATGATGAAGTTACCTATTGGTTGGACCTTCCATTGGATGAATCCAAGAGAGTTCGTGTCAAGAAAGGAGACTTGGCAAGTGCACAAGCTTATGTTCATGTTAAACCAATGTTGGGTGGGACTTTCACTGACATTGTCATGTGGGTTTTCTACCCATTTAATGGGGGTGCAAAGGCAAAAGTGGCATGCACCAACATTCCACTAAGGACCAAAGGGGAACATATTGGGGATTGGGAACATGTGACATTAAGGGTAAGCAACTTCCATGGAGAACTATGGAAGGTTTATTTCTCACAGCATAGTAAGGGTCAATGGGTGGATGCATCTGAGTTGGAGTTCCACAATGGCAATAGGCCTGTGGCTTATTCTTCCTTACACGGCCATGCCTTGTACCCAAAACCTGGGCTTGTTATGCAAGGGATGAGAGGGTTAGGTGTAAGGAATGATGCTGCTAAAAGTGATGCAGTCATGGATACGGCAGATGGGTTTCAAATAGTTGCAGCTGAATATTTGGGATCACAAATTATTGAGCCACCATGGCTAAACTATTCCATGAATTGGGGTCCAAAGGAAGGGCCAAAGGGTCCAAAGCAGAAGAATACGTGGGAAGGAGATGAACGGTGAACAATACCCTTGTACCAAACTAATAAAGAAAATCCGAAATCAATTTCAAAACAACAAAAATCATCGACTTTTTTTTTTTTTTTTCACAAATAGAGTAGTTCTTTTTTTTCCTTAAGACCATGCTCGTCAAACAACCCTTAAAGAAGACACAAATGATACAATGAAATAGTACAATTAAACCATTAAAGTGTGAGGAAAACAAACAAGTATATGTACATACAAAATGAAGTTCCAATACAAAAGATAAAAAAAGATTTTTTAATTTTTATAATAATTTTCTATTTTTTTGGCCTAAATTTGATATTTTTATAAATTTTTAGTCCAAGATTCTAATTCCATTTCACCAATAGAATTTTGTTTTCTAGACATTAATAATTGTCGCATAACAATAATATTTTTTCTTTTATTTTTTAATATTTAAAATTAAATTATTTGTCAATCATTATAGTTATTATACTTTAAAAAGTCAAACGAGTCATTTTAGTTCGTTTTAGAAAAGTAAAAAAACAATTTCACGTAAAAACTCCATAATAAAATATGTATTACATAAAATTAATTTTAATTTTAAGTATAATAATTATATATATAATAATATTTTTTTTAGATGAGTCAATTCCATTTAAGTCTATTTAAATCATAATAAACCAATTTAGTAAAAGTTGATTCGATCAAATTTAAATTAATTTTTTTATGTAATTTAACTTGTTTCTGAAACTTTTTAAACTTACACGGGAAACAAAACTCATTTTAGTTGGTTGTTGGTATGAGTGCAAGTTTAATATTTAAATATGACTAAATAATATGAAGTTTATGTTTTGGTAATTTTCTTGTTCGTAATAATAATTAAAAAAAGGTTCAATTTTAATTACCACCTAAAATAATAACCAGTTTTAGAATTTCATATTCTTCAAATAGATCTCTTTTGATCTGTATTAAAATCAAATAATGGAATAGCGGTATCAAATAGAAATTTGTTGAATAATGGATGATTAGAATCTTATAAATAAAGTAAAATAATAAATATATAAATCATATTGATAATATAATATTTTTTTAATATTTTCTTAATAAAATATCTATTATAATTTGACGATTATTAAAAAAATGTTTATTAAATATATAAAACTAAAAAATGCTAATATTATATCAGATTTTATCTTAAAATTAAGTTACTATTTAATAAATTTCATTAATATCAAACTATATTATTAGAGAATTTAACAAAGTGATTATTTTAATTTTCCAATCATATATATATATATATAATATCATGAAATTTTCCAATTATCAATGTCCCTTCATTAATGTTTTTTTTTGTGTGTGTTTATTCTTCAGAAACGAAGGGCATTGTTGTAAATTCATTATTTCTGACCAGGGTGGACAAGTAGACCTTACAAAGCTTAAGGTTTTTTTGGGTTATTTGTACAAATCTGTTGGGTGCTTTCCCTCATGCTCTTTTCTGCATTGAAGTTGGTGAAAGAAGATCAAAACTGAATTTCTTTTCACAATAGAGAACCACGAGAAAGAGACTGATTTTGATCACTTTGATGAGATCAATTTAAATGCTGAAGTTCTGTTTATCTTCTGAGTTTTTTGCCGTCTTTGCAGAATAATGTATAGTAGTGCATCACTTTCTGATAGAGTTTCTTCCTCCATTGCAGAAAACAAGGTACTTTTTTTCTCCACTCTCCTGATATCTTTAGGTTTGATTTTTCTCTCTTTCGTATTTGCTTTTGTTAGTGCAGAATGCATAGTATTAGCATCATACTTGTATCAGTTGCTGTTTGTAATAGGCTTGAAAAAATCCATTGCAGAATTAAAAAGAAAAGTAATTGTCTCAGTTTGTATCATATGATGACAGCAGGTTCTTCTTCAAAATCTTCAAAAACATAAGATTCAAATAAAAAAACAGATGAAAAGAAACTGTTTGATATAGTCTCTTGATTAAAAAGGGCTATGTGTCAATTTATGGTCCAAATAAGAAAAATCAAATACTAGAACTCAAATAATCAAAGTAATGGAAGAAATATTTTCCACCATAGGATGGTCTGGAAAAGAATACTGAGCAAACTAACTTTTTATGACACCTTTTAGAAGCAGATGTTGACATATGAAGAAACATTGCTTAGTCGTAGGTTATTAAGATTTTATTTTAGCCAATAAAAAGTTAGGAAGTCATGGTTGGTCAATTAGTGGTGACATGAATGGTGTATCACCTCTATGCTAGGATTATGTTTTGACCCACAAATGACTGGTATATCACATATAGTTTGTCTACTGCTTTAAAAAAAATTATATAAATTATATATTTATTGAACCATTTTATTTATTCTCAATTGATTTTAATTTTATATAATTAATTTTTGTTGATAGAAAAAAAAAATATAGATCTCATTATGATCTATTAATATGATCAATAATGTCAAACAGGCTGTCCATTAGGGATAAAGAAAAGTGATGAATGATTTCATGAGCATTCCAAGAAGAAGAAACCGAAAAACAGAATCAAGTAGGTCTAATTATGTCTCCTCAGTTTGCATTCATGCATGTTCAGCTTATTGGAGTTTCTTATAGGACATGTACGGTATTGGTGTGGCAAGCATAACACCAAATACATGCAATTCTACTCAACGTTTTCAGTTTTGAGGTTTGCTTTTCATTCCATGTTACCACACTCTGCATAATGTGAAAGTAAAAGTGCAATTTCAAAACTTAATAAATCCACTATTTCATGGACCCTGCAAATCAACTCCTTGGAGATGTAATGTGGGTTAGGGTCATTTAAAAGGAACAACACTAATAATTTTCATAACAAACTTGCATCAGTTTATATTTAAAATTTGTTTTGGGCTTGGCTCAATTAGAGTGTTTATTGGGTATCCTAAGTTGACGTTGATGTCCATTTGGAATGATCCCCATGATGTGTGCCAAGCTGTGATTCATTTGTGTTATCATATTTTTTTCAGAAATGTCTTAAAATTTTTCAGTAAAGATGATATTAGGTTAAAACTTTGCATCAAACATGAGAACCAATAAGGATAGTTTTTTTTTTTCTTCTTCTTGTATCCTTGCAATAATGAACAACCTCAACACAAATGCTTCAAAATTTGATGGAATAAGAATACTGTAAAATGTTGGAGAATTCTCATTATTTATATATGAAACTAAAATTGAATATATAAATGACTATAAATCTTAAATTTAAAACTTATTTTGTAGAACTAACTCATACTTAAATTAATATTTTACTATATTATTAGAGTTTATTCCGTTTATAAAATCACTAAAAAAATATAACTATGTCTTGTCTAGAAATAGTAAAATAGACTATTTTATATGATTAAATTAATGTTTAAACTAAGATAAAAACACCACTAAAAAAAGGTACCAATTTGTTCGTGTGGCACTGCATTGCAACATATATGTAGGTTTTTCAAAGTAGATACTTTGTGTTGTGTTTAAATCATGCATGGTTGTCATGTATATGTTTTTTTTTTCACAGTTTGTTGTTCCGCTAAGTTACTTTTCATGACGAAAAATCTCCCTCCAAATATGAGTTATGATGAAAATTTTTCATCTAAGAGATATAATGAAAGTCAAAAAGAGAGAATACGTGAAAAAATTATCTTCATCTGTTAAAATTTTACAAATATAATTATCTTCATCTGTTAAAATTTTACAAATATTACAAAATATATATATATATATATATATATATAAATATAAATATAATTATCTTCATCTCTTAAAATTTTACAAATATTACAATATATATATATATATATATAAATACAATAATAAGTCAGTATTATAGGATTAAGTTAGATAAATCTTTATTTTTAATATAATATTATAATTAATTCTAGTAAAGTTGAAACATGAAAAATCTTATTTAAAATGGGAGAATATGCTAAAAAGAATCTTTAAAATTATATATAAATAAAATCCTGATCATACCAAATCAATTTTTTAAGATTAAATTAGATATTTTTTTATTTCTAATATTTTAGGTTACAATTTTATCATTATCTCATTCCTTATTTTAATATATATAAACGTACTTACTTTAAAACAACTTCAAATTTTAAAAGTTTAGTTACAAGTAATTAGCGATTTAGACAATGTTTTGATTCTACGATATTAAATTTCTAGTATATGTATATTTACTTGAAATATTGTTAGTTTTGATCATATATTTATTATATAATTCGAATGAATTAAATTCATTGAATTAGATATTGAATAATTAGTTATCTAACATGATTCTAATATATATATAATTGACTTATGTTTTAATGAATTGAGAAGGTTGTTGAATTGTCTATGCCTCCTCTTATTTAAGCAGAAAAATTTCCATTATTTAGCTTAGCCTCCTCGTGATGGTTTAATTCCATTAGCAAGCTAGGTTCTCAATCACATGATTTAATAAATATTCCACTACTTTTCTTTCCTTATCTTTATAATAAGTTTCTCACCAAATTCATTCAATTAAACTATATGGTCCCAAATTTCTTTTTTCAGCAAAAATAAGAGATCATCATGCTCTGTTAATAACTCATAAATCTCAAAATGAAAAAGGGCAAACTATACACCAAAACTTCCATACAAAATATTAAAAATAGCTTCTGAAATTTGGCACTGATTTTCGCATGGAAGAGAGAAGAAAATCAGAAATGGTAGATATTTAAGTGAAGTAATGAAGTAAAAAATGATTCATATTTCGATTTCATCTTCAATGAAGAAATCATTTGCCATATTAGACGTGCTGATACGAGGATGTAATTAATTAACGTGTGTTTATATGGTGGAATCGTTTCTTTTCATTGAAGGTTTTGAGAGAATAATTAGTTTCCTAGTTTGTATTTCCACCTACTTATTTATGAACCCTAATGTGATGAAAATTGCAATGTGATGTTGAAGGAAGGACGACAAAAGGGATAAAACAAAACTTGTGTGTCATGTATTGAATTGCAATGGAATCACCACAACACTATGCAAAGGAGGATCTCCACATCATGAAAAGGTCAATATCTCAACAAAATGCTTTGTTTTTTGGACCATTATGTTTGAAGGTTTTCTTAATTTCATGGTCTATGTTTTTTATTTGAATACTCTCTATACAGTACTTGCTCGCCAAGATTGCCATTTGGTATTTTCAAATTGTCAAACGATTTCATTTCCCACTTGTAGTGTCTTTTCTTGTCATCTATTTGTCTTCATCATTTTTTCTTTCTTTCAAAATTTAAGTCAAACTAGTTTTCTATCAATGGTGTGATTTTCTTTTTGGTTTCATTTTGATGCATCTTTGTGTTAGGCTTTTAGTAAAACATAAACTATTTAAGTTTCTTTGGACAAAATTCTTTTATAAGTAGTTTTACAAAAAAAAAAAAAATTGAGTTAATTTCACTAACATTCCTTGATGTTTTCTCAAATTACATTGAAACCCTAATTTTTCTAAAATTCTACAGGAAAAATCTCTTTATATTAAAAACATTATATTCTTCTCCTTTTTACACTATGCATGCATCTCTTAATGATGAAAAAAAATGAGGATATAAGTGTAATTTTAGAAAATATCAGGGGATCAGAGTGTAATTTACTAAAAAAAATATCCATAAAGTAAACTTATGCCTAAATTAAAAAAAAAAGTTATAATAGAGAAGTTCTAAAAAAATTACAATTTTCCATGGATTAATTTTAACTTATTGAAAAATTCAATCTAATTCTTTTTCTTAATTTTCTCTCTAAAGTTCGTATGAAAATTTTTGGTCTACCATTATATATTTTATATTTTCATTGTATTTGTGCAGCAAAACATAAAGTACTTATAAATTGTAACTTGCAAATGTTATTACATAATATTTAATTATAAAATAATTTATAATTTTAAGAAAACTTTACAAATGTTATTATTTATAGATTTTAAAATAGTAATAATACATGATAATATAAAAAATGTTGAATATTTTTAATAAAATGTTATTATATTAATATCTTTAATTAATTATCCTACTTGGTGCAAAAAGTCAGGGCCGAAGGTCCCAAACAGTTTGGTCACTGCTTTCAGCATATCATATCATTTCATTTAATTATTTGACCGAGTCAAAGTGGTGTGTTCTCTTAATCATCAGCACAGACTTCAGAATTTTAATAATTGATTAGGACATTTAAGTAACATAATTCCAATGGGCTTACCCTGAAATTTGTTTGTTGAATTTTAGAAAGTCAACAATATTAATAAATTATCAAAATTACTTTAATGTAAAAGGGTACGAAAATTTCATAGGCATGTAGTTGAAAACGTATTATGTTAGAAAGAAAAAGAAAAAAAAATGTAGAATATTCAACTTATTCAAAAACAATATTATTTCCGATGAACCCATGATCCAAATAAATAATAAAAACAATGACACAGTTTTGTAGAAAAAAAGTAAAATGTTAAATTTAATATATGAATAAAATCCTTAAAAGGGTGTAATAGAACAGAAAAAGAAGAAACAGAAATGAACTTTTTGGGGAACAATGATGTTGAGTCAAAAGGTGACTATAATACATTTATTATATATGTTTTCGCAAAATCGCGATAAATCATATGATCCCTGAAACTGGTTCCACTCTATAACTACATCCTTATATATCCGAATACCCGGTCAATTCTCACATACATTTTTTTCTCTTCTCTCTCATTCTCTCTATCTATCTGCTTTTTCTGTTAGAAAGAAGAGGTAAAGGTAACTTGCATTCTAGTACACAAACCAATCACTTGCTTGGAATTCTCTTGTCTCGATGTTTCTCATTCTTTTGTTTATGTTTGCGAGATAAATGTTTTTGTTTTCTTGTTAAAAGATAAGAACAATAACCACTCCATGTATATATATGCTCATGTAGCTACCTAGCAGGCCTGCATTATATTAACCTTATATTATATGATAATATATGAAACTGTGAGTATTTTATTTCACTTAAAGGTTTGCATGTTGTGATGTCAGTTTCTTGTGTCGCAGGCCGGCAGAGAGACAAAGATCTCTTGTGTTGTGTGTTTTCCAATGTTAGCTGCTTTCTACGTTTTATATAATATTTTGAAACATAGTAGAAGATAGCTGAGTTAAATAACAGAGGGTGGTTTGTGTTGTGTTGTGCCTCAAAAGAAGAGTACTTGTCTGCTTTCATTGTTAAGAGGGTGCTGGTGTTTATTGCAGCAAAAGCAACGAGAAGAACAAACCAAGAGAAATTGGAATGGAAGCCAAAGGTTTAGGAGAAGTTAGAAGGCTTCACATCATTTACTTCCTCAGTCAGATAGGTGGTCGTGCTGATCATCCTCATCTAATTCGAGTACTTCATCTTACTCGTAATGGGGTTTATCTAAGAGGTGTGTTACCGATGTTTCGTACTTCCTTTTTATTCTACCAGTTTAGCCTCTGCTGCATCTGGCTCTGACTATGTAATACCTCTTGTTGGTTCTGCTTCCTATACATGTGATGTGAATAGAGTAAAGATATACAAAACACTTGTTACATTTCAGATACTCATTGTTCTAACTTTCCTCTTGTGGAATCATATTACCTTTCACATTTACAATATCTTTCTAGGTGTATATGAGCTCTTGGTGTTCATGGATAAATTTTGTTGTGATTAATGTGATTTTTATTATCTAACGGTGTTGCCTTTTATCTCCTAAAAAGATGTCAAGAGATGGCTTGGGGAATTGAGAGGAAAAGACTTACCTGAGGCTTTTTCTTGGTCCTACAAGAGGTTGAGTGATACCCTCCTATTCCCTGCATTGGTCCATTTCTCCACCTCATTATTTTAACCTTTAACTTTATGTGTGTGTTGTGATGAGTTTAATTGTAACTAACAATTATTGAACGGCAGGAGGTACAAGAGTGGATATGTGTGGCAAGACTTGTTGGATGACGACCTCATAACCCCCATCTCTGACAATGAATACATCCTCAAAGGATCACAAATCCACACTACCCCATTTGGTATGTACTTGAAGGAAATCGCTATTCCCACTTTTGTTGTTCACATTAATATTTGAGTATGGCCACCCATAATTTCCATCCATGGACATTTCCAAAGCATGCACACTTTTCCAATAATGTTAAAAGGCTCATTAAGTTGTACAACTTTTTGGATTATGCTGCAGCAACAACTCCTTCACTTGAAGAAAAGAAAACTACCGTTTGTGATATCCATGCTGAGAAGATGTGTTCTCAAGTACAACTTTTAGAGGACAAAGGAAAACAGCAGCAGTCGCCAAAGTCTCTAGCAGAAGAAGAATCTCAAATTCAACCAGACCAGAATTCGAAATCAGATACTCCAACAAAAGGGTCATCAGAAATCAGCCAGGACTCATTGGTCTTCGGCTCAGACAGGTCATCTATGACAGATGATGACTCTTCTAAGGTTGAAGAAGAGAAGCATCTAGTGATCAAAACAGGAAAAGAGAGTTTCAGTAAAATGCGCCAGGAGAAGCCAGAGACATGCTCATTACCTTCCTTGTATCACAGTTTATTGAGTAAGAAGGGCACTCACAAAGATGACCAAAATAAAACTCACTCACCTGATTCATCCTTATCCACCATATCATCATCATCATCTCAATCATCCTTTACAAAGATCAGAAGCAATTCTACCAAAGTTTCTAATGTGTTTCGAAATTGGATCACTTGTGGCACTGTGGACACAAATGATGCAGCACTGACCCTGATGAACCCCGCTCGAAAAATTTTATCCAAGGAAACTGCCAACAAACCTGAAACAAAAGCTGAGATTTGTAAGGGAGACAGATTGGGAGGATCAGCGAGGTCTTTTAGGACTTCCTGGGGTCATCATGACCAGAAACAGCAATATGGGGCAAGGTGATGAGTTATGTTATAAATTGAACTTTGAATATTTTTAATATAGTGATCTTGATGTTATTATTTGCTTGGCTGCTTTCTGTTTTCTCATTCTTTTTTTATTGTTTTGCAGAAAAAGCTTTGATGGAGAGGAAACAAACAGGGGCAGGAAAATGTTAGGCGAGTTGCTAAACCAAACTGCTTCCAGACCATATGGAGGACCTATTTGCTCGTAAGTGACTCAACATGTCACCTCTTGAGTATAATTTCAATTATTAGCATTTCAACAGTATGGTGAGAAGAAACTGTGCATGAAAACTCTTGGTTATATATTTGGAGGAATGTTTTAGCACACTGGTTGAAGATCAATAGGACACAATATTAGGACTTGTCAGGACCTCAATGATGTTAAGCTAAACGGAGGTGCATGAAGACCAGAATAGACTGCTTATTATTAGTCTATTAAGTATAAACAAAATTAAAATATATGACCTGTCTACTGAAACGACAAGTGGCAAAAGTGTCCAACAAATATCCCAGAAAGTGAAGATTCAGGATGGTTGCATTACTATATAGTCAAAATCCATAATTTATATTTTCTTGTAACAAAAAAGTATAAAATATAAAGAGGGTTGACATTTATTTGCAGATTGTGATGTTCACCTACTTTTGGCTGCGGGGTCTAGACCTCAAGATTTAATAGTCGTTCCATGCATCTTAATTAAATGTGACTAGTGTAGTATGAGCTATGTACTTGATGCCCATATGTTTCGTGACACTTGCAATTTCACGTTTATATCATAATAATTAATGACAAGACCATAAATAGGACTTGATGATGCAGGCAATGTGGGAAGTCGTTTAAGCCTGAGAAAATATTCAAACACATGAAGTCTTGTAAAGGAATGAAAGCCTTCGGAAAGTCAACCACAACTGTTGAGGAGGGACAGCATCAGAGATCATCAACTTCATCCCATACACCTTACCTTTTGACCAACTAAAATATGAATACCTTCATTCCAGAAGGTGTTTGGCTTTTAAATGTTGATGCTTTCACACTTGGTCCAGGTGCCCTTATAAAATGTCTCTATCAATGTCCCTTGCTTTCTCTTCCATACCCTTTGGCATCATTATTCTGTCTTTAAAACTTCTGCACCACAGAAAAAAAACCAACCTTTTTGCACGATACTACAAAACAAGAATTAACAATTTATAGTCAATGAATACACAGAATGGCATTCGTTCACACAACAGCCAGAACTACACCTTAAGAGTGTAAGATTGTTGAAGGGTTTCCAAGGTTGGCTTAAACACTGTTCGGACACAAATGACCAAAAGGTTAATCCAAAATGATTTATAACATAAAACTAAGTCAATAATAATTAATAACATATCCATATCGATAGAGCACAGCTCAAAAATCGTATAATCTGGGGCATAACTTAATTAAATTATACAAGGTGTAAGATCCTAATTAAAGTAGTCAGCCATACATAGATCAAAACGAGCTGTTATACTTTACATCTTCACTGTAATACCAATGTCATCTACCCAATGCAGAGTCAGTTGAGGATAGCATTCTCCATATTGTCAATTCTGTTAGTTCTCGTAGACATTCATTGGTTAGAAGCAATAGTAGAATTAACATGCTCAAGTAGAAACCGGTATAATTTTTTCCTTAGCTTCTCTACCCTGTGATCAACCTTATCTCCACCAACCAAATTATCTAACCAATGATTCACCTGTTTGAGCTGTCCGAGAAGACTTGCAATTTCAGTCTTCCCTTCATTTTTCAATCCAAATTCATTACCTAGGGACTCCTCCAAGTACTTCAGGAACCATTCACTAGATTCCTCGAGAAGTTTTTCTGCCAAACGTGCAGCCACTTTTTTTTCAATTTCTTTTGATTGATCCTGCTTGGCAGCATCCTTGTTCTTGGTTGCCAAGACATTCCGCTTAGAAGAAGGAAGTCTTTTAACGATTGAATTTGGCAAGGGGTTTGCATGAGTTACTCGATTTTGCTTGCTTTGAGCAGTTGCATTCTCAGTATTGATGTCGTCAGGAGAATTCTCAATGACAACATAATGACATTTCTCACCATTTAGAATCTCACTTTTCGCCTGTTTTTCAAATAGATTGAATCTGGAAAGATTCGTACCTATAGCAGCTTGTACCCAAGATATAGTATTCTTTCGAGTGGGGACTTTGCAAGCATCTTCTATTGCACACTGCAGGGTAGAGTCGTTCCTTGGCTTTGTTTCGGGAAATGGGGTAAGTAAGGAATCAAACAGCACAGTTACTCTCTGCAAACTCAGATGAAGCTCCAAAAACTGCTTCACAAGTGATCCAGCAGAGTGTGTTTGACAAGACTGGCAAAGTTCTGCATACATGCTGAAAGAGCTAATTTTAGTAGATGCAATTATAAAGCACATATAGTTCATATAGACCCAAAAGAGGAAATATATATATATATATACACGTTGTGCTTAGTTAACTTCAAAAATAATCGCTTAACATAGCTTACGAAAAATAAACAACTATTTCCTTGAAAGAAGCTGATCCAGAAATGCTATTTATTAGAAATCTGAGAAATTTCCTTCCAATTCAGATTACAAATATCAACAAGTGACAATGATGAGATACAGTGATGGAATAGCCATTAAGGTTTCTCCTGATATTTAGCTTGGCAAGAAATTTACAGTTGAAATAACATTCAAATAGTGACATACATTTAGATAGACATAATCCACAATAACTTCAACTAACTTAAAGGGGGCACCAGGGGGTGGATATTACCACATAAACTAGTTAGGTATACTTTGAAAAGAACAGTAACAGAGATTCATTTCTGTATTTCAATAATTAGAAATGCTTTCTGAAATTAGAAAATGTTTAGGTTCATTATATTTTTAAATGCATTATTATCATCAATATTGAGTTAATCAGATGATATGCATCTGTTAGACATAAGAACGCCCAAAGGAAGGGCAGAAAGAGGTGACAAAAACAAAAGAAGTGTATTGTCTACTATATTAAATAAATACCACATGCATTGGATCACAATATCTGTAGCTGATGCTTCTTCAAGAGACCGCACAGCCGCCATAAAAGCAACATTTCTATGAGCTACAACTTGCTGCAAAAGAGTGACAAGACAACATAAAAAATTAGAGATGATGGCAAGCAAGTTTGAATATTAGCAAGGCACAAAAATCCAGTTCAATACCTTTCCAAGATTACTCATGGAGGATGAGAGATCATCCCAACATGCAGGAGTATCATAACTCCAAGTCTTGATATTGAGGGGCACCTTTACAAGTTGGCTATGACCAGTGCCACCACCGGGTGACCTAGTACTAGAACTCTTCCTCGGAGGAGTGCTTGTCAATGATTTTGCACGGAGATTCTCGATTTTATTCTCAAAGGGTGAGACACTTGAAGTTGGAAATTTTAGCGGAGAATCAGCTTTAGTAGAAAGCTTCTTGCATATTACCTACAGCAACATATGCCATCTACCCAAAATAAGCTTCAAGAAAGTTAAAACACAATAAACGACATAAAAATAAACCTTTTGACTCATACAAGATCAGCGTAAAAGGGTTATAATCTAGCTACATGCAGTGCAGACAGCAGAGTATGTAGAACCCTCAAAAGTACACTCACCAGAGGCCCTACCAGACTGACCTCAAATATTAACGAAACACAACCTAATTCATTACCAAAATATATTAACAGCATTTCAAAGCTTACAAATAAAAAACTGCAGGCCTGGTCCACAAAAACAGACATTAAAGCCTTTTAAATACGCAAAAAGAAAAAAATAATAATAATAAATAAAAAAAGGGCCCTCATTTATCCGAAACAGTGATTTAACACAGAAAACAACATTCATCAGTGGGGTGACAGCCTCACGTTTCATTAAAAATCTGCAACATTAAACTTGGGACAATGCTGAACAGAACATAATGACTACTATAACCACACCCCATCAGATATATCGTAAATCAGCGCACCCATTCCCTCATAAATTAAGAAATTTTCTTTTTTAGAAAAAGAAGATAAAAATCCTCAATTAAACCACCCCTCTTAGAAAACCCATGCAAATTTACAACTAAAAGCAAAATGGGTCCAAAAGGTAAAGCCCTTTCATCACCAAAAGTAAGAATTAATAATGTACAACAACCTTGCAGTTCTCCTGTTAGAGTTGGAGTTACTAACTTAATTCAACCTTTATTGCTAAATTGTATTTAAAATAAAAAATAAAAAAACTAGTTCCAATTAGAAAACAACAAAAACCATTTAAGAAACTGCAGGTGTCTTAAGAAAGAAAGATTGAATAAACAAAAACAAGTTCTTTTACTTGAAGAAAAAGTGCAAGAGAAAGTATTAATTTCTTGGGAAAGGAAAAAAAAAAACAGTTTTTTCTTCTATATTTCTAATTCAAATATCAAAATTTTCCATTTATCCTACTACCTGCTGTAATAGAAACTTGAATTGATGGAAAAAACTGAGAAAATGTATTAAAAAAATTAATTTAAAAAAATAAATAAATTTTCATGAACAAGATCGTACAATATTTTTTTTTTTTTTTACTCTCAACCGCAAATAAAAATACTTCCTTTCTTCTCCATTATCTCTCCTTCCATCCATCCAAACATCCCCACAGTGAGTATATGATTCAAAGAAGAATAAAACAGCAGAAAAGGAACAGCAACACACATTAGACGAAGTAGGGTTCGATTTTTTTTGCTTGAGTTTATCACTACTGGAACTCCCAGAACAGTTTTTCCCTTTCGGCAGAGGACTATGATCCCAAACCCTTCTCGCAGAGTCCAAACTCAACCTCCTCGACTCCACCTTCTTCTTCTCAATGTCCCTCTTCTTGACCCTTTCGCTCTGGCTCTGTGTATCGTGGAGGGACGTGCCGGGGAGGAGCTCAGCGGGGTTACCGATGCAGGGGCGGCGCTTTGGGAGTACAGTGAGGCCACGGACGAGGGGGACGGGAGAGCCGCGGTCAAGGTGCGTGACGTAGACGAAGTGGCCGAGCTGGAGCTTGTCGGTGCAAATGAGGTGGGTGTCGGCGTCAGGGACGGAGACGAAGGCGGAGTGGAGGGAGTCGGAGAGTTTGAGGAAGTAGCCGCCGGTCTGGAGGGAGGATGTGGACGAGAGACGTGGCACGATCTCGGTGACCTGAAGGAGAGCCTGGCGGTGCGGGGCGGTTACCTTGCTGCCGGCGTTCTCCAGAAGCTTGGAGAGAACGCCAGGAGTCAGGGACGCCATGAAGGTGCTCTGTGAATAGTGTGAACGAAATAGGATTTTATTACAGAAATAGTAATATATTGGAATGAGCAAAAACTAAACAAAAATAATAATAAAGAACAAATTTTACTTTAAATTTTTTATTATTTATTAAAATATTTTATATAAGTTTTTAATGGTGTAACTTATAACATAAATGAACGAAATTAATACAAGTTATTTTTCAACATACTCTTTCTCTAACTTTTCTCTTTTCTAAACTTAAAGCTTAGTTCTTAATATATAAATAATATTATTTTAATAATCTATTAACCTCACTTGCTCATATAGTAATCTGATAAAAAAAATTAACTTTTTTTAATAAAAAAATATTCTTATAAAATATTTTATTTATTAGAATAATTTTTATAAAATTTATATATTAATTTTATATTTTTATTATTATTATTATTATCAATATATTAATTATATTTTGGATAAAAAAATTTATTTGAGGTGAAAGAAAACTTTATTCGTGATTTATATAACAAATATAATTCATAAAGAGTAATAATTATGTTTATGAAAAAAAATCATGATATAATTTTTTATGTTTTATATTTTTTAATATATAATATTATAAGAATTATTTGTTTATATACTTATTTTCATTTATTTAATAATATAACAAAAATAAATATAATTTAATAAAAAATAACATTTTTTATAAATAATAAATAAATAAATTATATTATAATACAAATCATATGATCCAAATTATTAAATAATGTTATACAAATTTAAATTATGATATTAATTTTTTAGAAATTATTCTTTTGAAGATTATATTTTTATCAGTTTAATAATCAATTTTAATATCTATAATAATATAAAAGAAATTTATTTTTTTCATAAAAAAATTAAAATTTCCAAACATTAGTTTAACAATCAATTTTAATATTTATAATTATATAAAAGAATTTTATTTTTCAATCACTTTTTCAATAAAAATTTAAAATATTATAATTTAAAAAATAATATAATTGGTAAATTTAAAAATAATATTTAAAAATATTAATTAGTGATTTTTTAATAATAATAATAATTTTAATAATTAGTATTATATTATACAATAGAACAGTAAAATAACTGTTCGTTACAAGATAGTTACAGGTATATTATTTTTTTAAAATCATAAAACCTTAATTTTTGTTATTATCATGTGTATCATCTAATAAAAATCATAATTAAATACTTTTAATAATTAAAAGGATTTGTTTTTTATTATTTTAGTATATGGCAACATTGTGAGAAAGTGTGTGGTGGAAATCTCAAAGTGACATGGGAGAAGGTGCAAGTATGGCAGACACTGGCATACAGATGTCACTCTTTATAAATATTTGAAAGAGGAGACAGCAAAATAAAAAGTGTCTTCCATTCCATCACCGTTCATTCACAACTACTGCCCACAGCAGGTTTGAAGGTTCAGACTTATTCTCCCAAAACCCACTAACTATAATACACACTTTTATACAAATTTAAAATAATATTTATTTATATATATATATATATATATATAAATATATATATATATATATCTATATAAAAGTTCCAACATAATATTAATTGAAAATATGAATTATAGTTTAATATATATTTAAATTATATCAAATGATACGAGATAGGTGACCTAAGACTTCTAATACGTCTCGAAGTTTGTCGGACCAGACAAATGGTACTTTGACCCACAACGAAAGACCAACTCTTGGTTCAAGATTATACCAAAAAGATGTTAAGTTTTGGCTCTGATACCATATTAAAATTCTAACATTAAACTAATTAATAATATGTGAAGTTTGTCTAACATATATTTAAACTATATAAAATGACATGAGGTAGGCGATGTGGAGTAGCCTAACATGTATTTGAAGAAGATTAGGTTGTAAACCATGAGATGTCAATATGAATCAGTAAGATTGGTTGTTGCTCTAACCAATATTAGAGGGTGGAAACTGTGGCAGTTGAATGTCAAGTCTACCTTCCTAAATGAATTGTTAGAAAAGGAGATTTATGTAAGACAATCCCCTGGATTTGAGGTGAAGGGAAGTTGTAGGTTTACTGAATAAAACGAATGGAAAAGAATAAAATAAATGGGAAAAATGGAGAGAATGAATATGAAATTAAATCAATCGTTATTCAGCTTGTATTTAGAATACTAGTTCAAAATATATTTATAATATTGCAGTAACGTAAAATGTAGAAAAAAAAACTAATTTGAGATATTCTCTCCTAAAATCTAGGCATATTTACTTTGACTAGAAACCCTTATTCAACAACCAAAACAGAAAAATAAAACAAATAAAAATATCATGTGCAGTCACGTGCAGTATAAAAATCAAATATCTAACACTCCTCCTTGGTTTTAGAACTGCAAACTCCAATCTTCTGCCTTAAAAATTCAAACTTGTTGAGTGGAAGTGGTTTAGTAAACAGATCAGTAACCTGGTTTTCAGTTTTACAATAAATTAGAACAACAACTCCATCCTTTTGTACCTCCCTTAAGAAGAACAACTTAATGTTAAAATGTTTAGTCTTCCCATGAAAAACAGGATTGTGAGAAATGGCTATTGCAGCTTGGTTATCAACAAAAACTTCTGTACTTTCCTTCTACTCCATGTTAAGATCAATTAGAATTTTCTTCAACCACAAGACTTGGTTAACAGCAGCTGCGACAGCAATAAATTCAGCTTCTGCTGTAGATTGTGCAACAATTTCTTGTTTCTTTGAACTCCAAGAGAAAACACCAGATCCAAAACTAAAACAGTACCCTGAGGTACTCCTCATATCATCAATTGAGCCACCCCAATCGCTATCTGAGAAACCTTTCAGTTTGAATTCTTCAATTCTCTTAAACTTGATGCCAAAATTTTAAGTTCCTTTGATATATCTAATAACCCTTTTTGCAGCCTTGAGATGCATTTCACTTGGGCAATGCATAAACCTAGATAAAATACTTACAGCATTTAAGATGTCAGGCCTAGTTGTTGTAAGGTACATCAAACATCCAATTATGCTTCTGAAAAATGCTTGGTCTATCTTCTCAGTTCCATCTTCCTTGCATAGTTTTTCCTTTTGATTCATTGGAGTGCTCATTTCTTTGCATTCTTCAAGTTTGAACTTCTTCAGAATTTCCTTGGCATATTTTTCTTGAGAAATGAAGATTTCATGTTCTCTTTGTTTGATCTCAATGCCAAGGAAGAATGTCATTAACCCAAGGTCTGTCATCTCAAAGACCTCCATCATTTCTTTCTTAAACTTTTCCATCAACCTTGTGTTGTTTCCTTTCAATGAAGGAGTTCTTTGAGGACCTGCAACATCTGTGTGAATTAATTGCAACTTTCTTGATGCTCTCCAGGCAGTTTTTGAGAAAGATTTTCTGTTTTGTTTGCCAAATTGACAAGCCTTGCAATTTGAAATTCGATCCTCAAGGTTAGGAACATCAAGTGCCAACTCTTGTTTACACAACTGCAGTAGTCCCTGGTGATGGTAATGCCCAAGCCTTTTGTGCCAGGTTTTTGTGACATCTTCCTTAAGTGAGAAAGCAGCTTGCTCCTCCTCCAAAGGATTTAGAGAAAAGTTTTTTCCTTTCATTTTTACCTTGAGCATATCATGTCCAGCTGCATCTTTAATCAAGCAATGTTTGTTTTTAAAAACAACTTTAAATCCTTTTTCAATGAGTTGACCAACACTTAATAGGTTTTGGTCAAGTTAAGGAACAAAAAGAACATCAGGAATAAATTGTCCCTGCACAACTTGTTATTGCAACTGTACCCTTTCCTCTAACTGTTATATAATCACCATTACCTATTTTTACTTTAGTGACATTGGTTGGCCCCAAATATTTGAAGAGTGACTTGTCAAAGGTCATATGGTTGGTACAACCACTATCAATTAGCCAACTTTCATTGGACTCATTGCCCAAGAAACATGTAGCCACAAATAGTTGGTCTTCCTCCTCCTCCTTTGGATCAGCAATTTGAGCTCCTTCATCGTGGTGATTTTTGTTTTTGCAAATTATAACTTCATGCCCCATCTGGTTGCACTTGTTGCATTTTGCCTCTGGTCTTCTCCAACATTTGAAGGGCGGATGACCTTTTTTACCACAATGTTGACAAGGTGGATAGGTTTTCTTTCCTCCCTTGCTTCTAAATTGATTGTTTGTTGAACTTACATTGCTTGATGCTTGATTCTTATCAATTTCATGATGTTTGACTGGCAAAGCACCTTCAACAACATGATCTTGTCTCATCATTCTTCATTGTTCCTAAGTTTGTAAGGCATGTAACACTTCTGACAAAGTGATCTTAGAAAGGTCCTTTGAATTCTCCAATGAAGTTATAGATGCTTCATACCTTTCTGGTACAGTTACCAGGATTTTTTCAATAATTCTAGAATCTGCAAAATCAGTTCCCAATAACTTTACCTTGTTGGAAATATTTAGCAATTTGTCTGAATTCTCTTTGACTGTATCAGACTCATTCATCCTTTGAAGCTCAAACTCCCTCATTAAATTAAGCACTTGCATGTTTCGAATTCTTTCATCTCCAGCATATTGTGTCTTGAGATAATCCCAAATTTCCTTTGCTGATTTGAGAGTCATGACCCTAGTAAAAACCGTGGTAGAAACCCCAGCAAAAAGACATGACCTTGCCTTTGTTTTTTGGGTTTTTTTTTCTTTGTGTAGCTTGATCTGGGTCATGGTAGGATTGTCTGGCAGCGGAAGGACTTCATAATCGTCTTCTACAGCTTCCCATAGATCCAAAGCCTCCAAGTAAGCCTCCATTTTGACAGCCCAAAGATCATAATTTTCGCCATCAAAAACTGGAGGTGCAATGTGTGAGAAATTTGGTTCGACATCCATATCCACAGGCCCGTAGGAAAAAAGCTCACGATACCAAAAAGCTCATTTGTCGGACCAGACAAATGGTACTTTGACCCACAACGAAAGACCAACTCTTGGTTCAAGACTATACCAAAAAGAT